GCTCAGGAAATTCCTCGAGCTCTACCCCTACACTGGAAAACAGATACTCCTGTGTGGACTGAGCAGTGGCCGCTACCCCTTGAGAAGCTCGAGGCCTTAAAAGTGTTGGTTTCTGAACAGCTCACTCCAGGTCATATTGAACAGTCCACTTCCCCCTGCAATTCTCCTGTTTTTGTCATCAGAAAGAAGTCAGGTAAATGGCACTTCTTGATGGACCTGCAAGAAATCAATAAATGTATCCAACCTATGGGTCCTTTACAGCCTGGTTTGTCGCTTCCTTCTATGATACCTAGAGGATGGTCAATGCTGGTCATAGATTTAAAAGATTGTTTTCTCACTATACCTCTTCAACCCTGTGACAAAGAGCGTTTTGCCTTTACCATTCCAGAATACAACAATGGCCGTCCTAAGGAATAGTATCAGTGATGGGTTTTGCCCCAAGGCATGTTGAATAGCCCCACCCTCCGCCAGGAATTTGTTGATCACGCTGTGAACCCAGTGTGTCTGCGACATCCTGCTGTTGTGTTGTACCATTATATGGATGACATTCTTTTAGCAGCTCCTACTGCAGCTGACCGAGATGCTGCTTTTTCTGATCTCCAACAACAACTAACTTCCTATAATTTAATTCTTGCATCAGAAAAGATTCAAACTGACCTGCCTATCGACTATCTCAGCTACTGCCTATTAGAAATGCAGATTCGACCCCCAAAATTGCAAATTCGCAGGGAAAATTTAAAGACTTTGAATGATTTTCAAAAACTTTTGGGAGACATTAATTGGCTCCACCCAACTTTAGGCATTACCACCTATGCCCTACAGCATTTATTTTCTACCTTGGAAGGTGATAGTTCCTTGACTAGCTCTCGTACCCTTACCCCACAGGCAGAAAAAGAGTTGCAGTTCGTGGAACAGCGACTTACCTCTGGAACTTTGACATTCCTTGACCTTTCCTGCTCTATAGTTTTTTATGTATTTCATACACCCCATTCACCCCACTCTGGGTGTTTAGGTCAAGACCATGGCATTCTTGAGTGGTTGTTTTTACCCAATCAACAGAACAAGAAACTGACTACCTATTTGGATAAGCTCACTTCTTTGATCCTTCACGGCCGACAACGTTGTAGGCAATTTTCTGGCCGGGATCCTTGTCGCATTGTTACTAAATTAACAGCCAAAGATACACAGGCGAATTCTGAATTTTCAACTGCCTGGCAAATAGCCTGTGCTGACTTTGTCGGTCAGTTTGATAATCATTATCCAGCTCATAAACTATTCTCTCTTCTTCAAACTCATTCTGTTCTTCCTATTTCTAATATTGCATCACAACCTGTTCCAGGCCCTACATTTTTCACTGATGCATCCAGCTCCTCCAAAACAGGGTATTGGAGTTCAATTGCACAGAAAGTTGTCTCTTCCCTTTTCTCTTCAGTCCAACAGAGTGAATTATATGCTATTTGCTTGGTTTTTCAGGATTTCCCTTCGACATCTTTGAACATTCTCAGTGACTCTCAATATGCTGTTTATGTTACATCTCAACTCCCTACCGCATCTTTACCTCTTAACCCTCATTCTTCCTTACAGAAGCTTTTTTCATATCTCCATACTCTCCTTTGGTCTCATTCAGTCCCTCTTTATATTGCTCATATCCATTCCCATTCTGGCCTTCCTGGCCCTCTTACCCTGGGCAACGCTACTATTGATTCCTTACTGATTGCTTCTGTTCAATAGGCACACGCCGAGCATGCCTTGCACCATACCAATGCTAGAGGACTGCAACGTCGCTTCTCTATCACTCGTAAGCAAGCCAGACAGATTGTCCGCTCGTGTTCTGCTTGTGCCCCTATTAATCTTCCTTCTCTTTTACCAGGCTGTAATCTTCGGGGGATTCAACGCAACCAGATTTGGCAAATGGATGTTACCTATTTTCAATCCTTCGGCCATCTTCACTATATTCACCATACTATTGATACTTGTTCTCATTTTCAGTGGGCTACAGCTCAGAGTTCTGAAAAAGCTGATGCAGTTATCACCCATCTACATTCATGCTTTGCTGTTATGGGCCTCCCACATACTATCAAAACTGAAAACGCCCCAGCCTATACCTCTTACAAATTGGCTGATTTTCTTCACCTGTATTCCATCCATCATGTTACTGGCATACCCTTTAATAGTCAAGGCCAAGCTATCATTGAACGTGCCAATCGTACCTTAAAATTTCAACTTTTAAAACAAAAAGGGGGAACTCCAGAGTCACCTCATCGTCATCTTCTTCGAGCCCTTTTCACATTAAATTTTTTGAATCATTAGTAGGCATCGGGAACCTCTGCTGCGGAGCGTCATTTCACCCCCGCTAAACCTGTAGCTCCTTCTTCTCCTGATCCTATGTCCGTTTATCTACTGGTAATTGGAGGGAGAGGGTGGTACTACAGTGGGGTCGAGGCTATGCTTATGTTTCCACAGATAACGGCTGTTAGTGGGTACCAACGCGCTGTCTTAAGCGACGCGATGGCCAAGCGAGGGCGGACCAAGGACTTTCTCAAGGAATGCGAGAACTTGACCATTTGCAGCAGGACCTACATGGGGGCCACGACTCGGGCCACACCACCAATGTGGGGACAGCTTAAGAAGTTTACTCAGGAAGCTGAAAATGTGGTAATGTGCGCTCAACAGCCGCGCAACGCTGGTACTCTTTTTCAGGCAATGCTCGCCATCGTTTCTTGCCAGGTAGGCTGCGTGTGTCCCTCTTCTACTTATACCTATTGGACCTATGTCCTATATCCCCCTTTATTCAAAGCTGTAGCATGGGGCAACCCAGAAGTCATGGTGTACACCAATGATTCCAACAGGATGCCTGCTCCCTACCAAACTCAGTCTTTATATAACAACGAGGAAGGGAGGTTAATCTCCAATTATTCCGTAAGTGTGGAAGGATATCCTATCTGCTTCAGTCTTAGGCCTTGTCTGCCTATTTCCCATGCACTACAGTATAATACCTCCTCTTTTGCGGCCTTTACAGTTTTGTTATCCGTAAAAGGCCTCCGAGGAAAACCTACCAATCTGACTGAGGGCCAGTCACCCTTGCCCATATGTGCTATGCCACATGTTGATGCTCCTTTACAACATATAGAGTGGACTAAATGTAGAGGCAAAGCTTTGAAGCTTTTAAGCGAAACCCCACTGATTGTTGACTGGAGCCCCCATGGCGATTTTCATGAAAAATTCTCTAATCACTCACTTCGGTGGCATCGTAGGTCTAACTCCTTAGATGCCTAGGCAAATGAAACTATTACATGGCATGGTAAGGGCTCATGCCCTCCTCAACCTCATCTTTTGGGAACCACTGCGATGCAAGGCTATATATGGAAACTGCTTGCATCTGGAGAGTATATAAATATATGGACAGGTAACATGTCCTATAATAACTCAGTAGGTTTCCAGGTCCACTTACATAAGAATCATTCTATATATATCTTGGCCTTTGTCCCCTATCCATATCTCTTGCTGATGGGCAAAGTCACTTGGAATTCATCAATTAACCATATTCATTGTGTAAGTAACTGTTCTCTGCACACATGCCTTAACCACACTTCTTGGCAATCTTTCAGTGAGAACTCGCATAGTCTGTACATTTTAAAGCCTCGGACTGAGCTATGGCTTTCTATGAATCTGTCAAGACCATGGAGCAAGTCTGCCACGCTCACTGCCCTACTTGACAAGGTATCTGCTCTAACACATAGAGCCAAGAGAGCAATAGGCCTAATTATAACCGCTGCTGTAGGGTTAGTAGCCATTGCTGTTTCTGCTGCAGCAGCTAGCTTGGCCTTGCATGAAAGTATCCAAATGGCTGACTTTGTTCATCGGTGGCATGAGGACTCCCACTGACTATGGGAGTATCAACATGAAATTGATATAAGATTAGAAGAAGAAATTATGAATTTGCAACATATGGTACAGTGGCTAGGTGACCAAATTCAAGTACTGACAACGCAGTCATTTCTCCGCTGCGATTGGAATTCTTCCCGATTTTGTGTTACCCCTATTCCTTTTAATGCGAGCAGACATTGGAACTCACTCCGTAATCTCTTATCTGGCAGTGTCAATATGACCTCTGATCTCCAAAATTTGGAACGAGAAATAACTAATGCGTTCCACAACAATCTCCCTGAGATGAATGAGGCGGAAATCCTTCAAGGCCTGGCTAATTGGTCTTGCCCAATTAAATCCTTTTGAACACCTTAAAACAAGGCTTATATCAATTACTAGCAATCTATGCATTGTATCATTGGTTGTTGTCTGCTTTCTCATAGTCTACAGGCGATGGTCCCAAAGAAGAATAAAGAACAACAACATCATAAAATAATGGCGGTGCTGCAACATGTTCGAAGACAGCATCCTGTGCCTTAAAACAAAATAAAAAAGGGGGAGATGTAGAGGACACCTTTGTCTAGGAATGTTTCCTTGTTGTTTTTCACAAGAACATGTCTGTGGCCTTGCACGCAAGTCCAGAGCGCCCTAACCCTGCAAACAGGAAGGGCTAGAGACTTTAGATGCAAACATCTGCTCGCCGGAGACAAAACAACAAGGAACAGGGACGTGTTGAGTCGGGACAGTGTGGGAACAAAGAAATTGTGGTGGGACAGTTGCCAAACAGGCTGTGTTATAAATAAGGCAACTACAGCAAGAGCTTTTGCTGCAGCCTTATACAGTCTTTGTGGTGTCTGTGTCTTTTTGTAAGGGCTGCAGTCGTGTGTCTGCGTCTTTTTGTCTCTGTGTTCATTCTTCAGTCTCAAAATACAGGCCACGTCATCCTTCACTAGGACAACAAAGATTACACTGATAACCTGTCATTGTTTCACATCTTAAATTATACTCACTGGGCCACATATGGACAGTAAGATGTGAGAACTACTTGTAAAATACAAATAAGAGCCACCATCAGGTAAGGGTCAGAATACTGATCAATAAAGTTACCATAAACGTAAATCTTGTCAACTTACCTCATTGGCCCGTTGGATTATTTTGTCATCCACATCTGTAATACCCATCACCATGACTATGTTGCATCCAAAAACCTTGGTTAGGATCCTTCGAATTATATCAAATCTCACATATGAGCTGAAACAAAAAAAAGTCAGGATGTCTTTAATACACAAAGTTGTCATTGTTATCTTATTAAGAAATGCATTATATTTTAATATGCTGCTACATGACTTCAACTGTGTAATATGTTTGACAGTTTGAGCAGAGCTAGCAAAAGGGAAAGCCACTTCATGGACTGGACACCGTGGGTCCAAATGAGAAAAGATATTGCACCAATTTCGGGGCACAATATTAGCATTTTTAATTTTAGAGCTGTTGTTTAAGTGAATTTACATCTGTTTGATCATATAAAAATTCATTTATATTACAATCTCACTAGGTAGTTAAAATACTGGAGCTTTTACCATTCCTTTTCATGTTCTAAAGAAATTCTAATTTTTCACTATGACAAAATAGATAAAAGTGAATAATGACATATCAAGTATAATCCCATTAAAGATATATAAGATTACTCCTAAGAATGTAAACATCAACATAGAATATTAAAATGCCAGCTTGCTTATATACTACACAGGGGCAACTCAGACTTTTAAAACCAAAGGGGTTTAAAATCCATTTAAAATCTCAAGAATCTGGTTTCCCATAAAAGCAACCTTAAAACTCAAGGTCAGCTAATCTCATGCTCATCTCTGTCATCCATGTGGCCTCTCTAAATTTGAGTCCATAAAATTGTTATTGTATCACATTAATCTCCCACCCATCCCCAACATAGCTGAGGCCAAATCTTGCATCCAGTGACAAAGCTATCTTCAAAACTCCTTGCCAAGATATGTAACCTCTTAAAGTCTTAGTCTGCTTACTTACAAATTGGGCAAAATTCCAGTAACCCACAGGATCGTTGTGTACAATCTTAGAGCCTGTGCAGCACTAATTCTAAAAACACAAGCTGTTATTGCTATTATCATCACTATGCCCTTCATCAGTCTCGAGTTTGGAGACACTACAAGAAATGGGATTTAGAAGAAAAATTAACAGGAACCTAAAGCAAATGAAAACAAGAATCAAGTCACACCCTTGGCCCAGAGGAGCTCAGGCTGTCCCAGAAGTGCCCTGCATGGCCTTCAGCAACTTGAGGCTCCCAGATGCTGTGGGTGGGCTGGGACCAAAGTGGCATGGACACACACCCCTGCAGGTGTCCGGCACCAGGAGACCTCAGCTTCCTTCTGTGACTCCACTGTGACTGTGTGACTGCCAGGCAGGCTCTTTCTGTTCTGGTCCCAGCCCTCCCGCTCCTGGGCAGGTGTGCATCTGGATTATGATGGCTGCGCATGTGGATGATGATGGCTAAGACTATTCTCAGCACTAACAGTCTTCACTCAAAACACTCCAATGTGACTCCATCTACTGTGAGATAAAACCAAAATCCTTTGGGCCAGAAAATACAATACCCTCCCCAATCTGGCTACAACCAACCCCTCCCAACTCTTCCCCCTCTCCTCCCCTATTTGAGCCAAGCTGGCCAATTTGTTTCCCCCCCCAAACAAGATTTGTACCCCTCGGCCAACCTCTTCTGGAAACATCAGAGGCCATTTTTCAGGGTGTCTCTTTCTACTGAACTGAGCCCTAGGCATCCTCCATGTTCTCACTCAAATTCTTCCCTGTGTAGCAGGCACTGACCTGCCCTGCTGGAGCTGAAATAATTAGATTACAATAAAAGTTAAATGATTGAGCAAATAACCACTGAAGCAGTTACAGAACTGAGACAACTGTGGACAGGTGGGGAAGGACGACAGTAGGTAAGGCAGAGCACAGGTGGGGCAGGGACGCCCTCCACACTGGGGAGAGGACACGCCAGGGGAGAGTCCCAGGCCCTGGGAAAGCCCCATGTGGACAGAGCTTACAACATTCATTCAGCTGCACACTTAAGACTTGTATTGTTTTCTGTATTTGTAAGGGCAAATACAAATTAAAACTGTAAGACTAGATTCTCCTAGCTGGAAATAAGGAAAGAGACTCCTTCTCAATGTATATAAATCTTTTAAATGGCCAAAATAACCTCCAGCCTGTCTCACAACTCAGGGAATTCTGAACACCTAGAAACCATCTTTGAAATGTAGTCAAGGAAGACAACGCCCCATTTCCCAGTGTCAAGGCGGAGATGGGCCTATAACTTGTCATCTGACTCCAAATTGTTAAAACCCACCTAAAACAATGGGTTGTGCTGTGGTCAGAAAGTCTGTGTCCCTCCCAAATTCATGTGCTGAATCCTAACCCCAAGGTGATGGTATTAGGAAGTGGGGGTCTTTGAGAGGTGATCAGGTCAAGGGGCAGAGACGGAATCAGTTACAAAAGAGACCTGAGAGCCTCCCTCACCCCTGCCCCTTCTACCATGTGAGGACACAGCGAGAAGGTACCAGCAAGCAGGCCCTCATGAGATACTGAATCTGCCAGTGCCTTGATTTTAGACTTCTCCACCTCAGAACAATGAGAAGTAAATTTCTGTTTACAAGCCATCCAGTATTTTGTTACAGCAGCCCAAGTGGATTAAGACAGGTGGCATCCCCAAAGCTCTTTGAAAGGGTAAGATTTCTTTCTGTCTTTGCAATCATTTCCTTCTGGTTTAATGCTTATTCAATAAGAAAATTATTTTCTTTTTCCTTTACCTTCGGAGAGATTGTGCAGGTTAGAAGGATATTTGGTCTTTAATATTTCCCCAACATATTTTATAATTCAATAAAGATATCAAAATATGCTTTTGATAATTAACTGTGAGTTAGCTCAAAGGGAAGGGGGGGGGCAAAACAATTCCTAGACTATTTTATTTTCATTATAAGAAAACTCAAAACAGGTTCCCATCTTGCTGGGTGATATAGCACCTTTTTAAAAGTGTACAGAGTAAATGTAACTTTTTATTTTTAGTCTAGGTCTGAACAATAAATACTGAGTTACAAAATGTATAAGAAGTCATTTTCATATACTATATTTTGTAAGTATACAAAATATTAGGAAACTTTGTATAGTAACATTGACAAACATAGGAAGCACTATGCCTTATGGTCAAGAAAGCAAAATTTTGGCGGTCAGAGAAACCATCTTCACCCCAGTTCCAACACTTCCTAAATGTGTGATCTTGGGAAAGTCACTTATCCTCATTAATTGTGGAGCCCTATGACACATCGAATGTCAGGTACTGTGTAAAGCAGCACTTTGTGGGAGTTACTTACTAAAATTGTTGTGAGGATTCAAAAAGATGGATACTATTACCATTTCCGTCTCCAAGCTATAGTGACTTGTACAAGGCTGGGAAGCTAATGAGGGTGGGGACAGGAATTGACTCTGGCCAGCTGGACTCCCTGGAAAGGTCCCTTTTGGTTGGTGGTGGTGCTTCTTAAAAATGTTTTACTTCTCTTTGTTTTCCTAAAGTTTTCTTTATACCAACAATGCAAAGGCAAATAAATGGAAAGGCCTCTAATGTCACTGAATCCACTAAGAAACATTTAATTCTAAAACAGGTCATTTTTCACTGCTTCCGATTGCCTCCCTGAGTTTCCTCCCCTACAAAATGGGTATAAATGCTCAGAATTGCTCTAGGAACCAAATGAGACTATAACGTGTGCTTCCCACAATGCCTGCCTGGCATGTAGCGATTACTCAGGACCCTTAAGTTGCCACTTGAGGGATGAAAAAAACCTGCAAAAGGCTTAACCTTTCCAAAATAAATGGTCCTGAAATGTGAAAATTCAAATCCAGGAGACTCACCAAGCATGGCCAAGGTGTGCATGATCATATACAGTTGGTCCACAGCTGTACCTAGGAACAAAGTTAAAATTCAAGTGAAACGTATTTGCAAGAAAGAGCATTCAACTGTTAATAATGATCATATAATCACTATTTTTTTTTAAGTAATTTCTTGTGGGGGATGCACCGCCGAGGTACTATACCCAAACCTCCATTCGCACCCGAACCTGTGCCAGCAGTGCACACACCCCAGCGTCGGGGACCACTCTCCGCGAGCCCAGAAGCACCGGACACCTGAGCCCCACGCCGCCCGTGCCCGCGCACACGCACCAGGAGGCGGCCCCGGCGCACGGCACGATCAGGGGTTCCTTCCTCCCGGTAAGGCTGTTGTACACCTGCACGCCCGTGTCCTGGCCCGCGGGCCGCAGCCAGGCCTGCCAGCGCCCCTCATTCGCCCCCCGGACCGAGTGCCTGAGCCGCCCAGTTCTCCCGAGGCCCAGCGCGGCCCGGAGCAGCGAGGCGCCCAGGCCGGATTCGCGCGTCTGCAGCATGACCGCGGCGGACGCCTGCGACAGCAACAGGGCGGGACCGCGCAGGAGCAGCCCCTGCTCCCGGGCCCCGCCCACGCCCGCCAGGCCCCGCCCACGCCCGGAAGAGGCCGTCAGCAAGCGACGCCCCAACGGCCTTGGGTCGCGCCCTCCCCTGCGGGGGTGGGACAGGGGCCCAAAGGCCTGGGGTAGGGCGGGCGCCCGGAGGCAACAGGAAGAGGCGGGTCGCACGCTACCTTCTTGCTGGGGCGGGCGAGCTGGGCGTCCGGGCGGCGGTGGGGGGAGCGTTCACCGCGCCAGCGCCCGCCGCCAGGACCTCGCCGGCCCGCGAAGCACATCTGCACCCTAGGGCACGGATTGCGCCCCGGTACACACAGCACATGTGCACCCCAACACTCTGTCCTGGAATCTCGGGATTGAACGACGAAAGCTAGGAACCTACCGATTCATCAAGTACGTGTAGCTGCAAATTTCTGCTTGGGATTCATTTTAAGGTTAAAAGTTCTATCATCCCGTATCTTGAGAACCCATTCAAATTTTCTCGACCAACACGCCCCAATTGGTATCTTGCAATATAGTGTCTACGCCTCGGCCCCCACCAAAAAAAAAAAACCCTTTGCTTTTGCAGTATTCAAAACAGCACAGAGGTTCCTCCGTTCTTTTAGTTGCTTCGATGTCCCATTGAAAAGCAAATGATTAAGTAGAGACAAACAAGTTTGTTCCTAGAGTACTTAATGTTTTCTGAATCTCCTGGAGTCCAATTCTACAATTCTGTCTCAAGCTATACCGTAGGCTAATGTAAACCTGTTCTAATGTATAAGGCTAAAACGTTAGAACCTGTTGTTCAGAATTAGTAGACCCTATACTGTACGTCAGTGATAACCACTCATGTTCCCTAACTACTTTTAATTCTCCTGGAATATCACTTCCTCACTGCCAGTGCAGTAGTTATGTTATTTTGTAATTGTCTCGTTTTTAGTGCAATGTGTGTTCCTCTCCCTGAGTACTCTAGATTGTAAATTCTTTTGAACTTCTCACTATATCCTGCACTAAATTCAGAAAAGGGCTTGTTGAACATTGTTGAATTAATCCCTCATGAAATCCACCTGTTGTGCAGGTGGGAGGAAATCTGGGTAATGAAATACCTGATAGAGAAAGTTCTGATTCAGATATTAGAAGTGCCAGTAAAAATGGCAAATGAACAAAAAGCTTGGCTGCAATCTGTGAGAACACTAGGAATGCAAGGAAAGAGCTAAAGTTGAAATTTGGAAACATATATAGTAACACTTAAGACCATATCTACACATGAATCTGGATAGCAAGCATATTTGAATTGGCCGTAGAAAATCCTGACTTTAAATTAACAATGGCATCTTCTGTCTTCAGAAAATTGGTCATGTATGTATTCAGTCCTTCGCTGGCAGCAATTCTATGCTTTCCGGAGACTTTGGAGGATATCAAAACAGTGACAAGAATAACCCATTATTTAATGATTTTTACAAATATGACTCCTTTTGCATATTGAATATTAAGGTAAAGTAAAATGGATTGGGAAGATTTATTTAGCATATGTACCAAAAAAGAGAATGTTCTTAATTTGAAGTCATCTCCCCAATCTAGGTCATAACAAGGAAGTGTATTAAAATTAGGGACTCCAAAATATGAATGCCGTTTCTTAATACTTAATGACAACAACCAAATGTAGTTCTCAGTATTCCATTCTCTTTCAAGGCAAAATTTTGTAAAGCCAAAGTAGGGTAGATTATGGTAGCATAGTGTATAGGGCTTTTCAAGTTTAAGATGAATGACTTAGCATTTATTTTTAAGCACCTCAAAACATAAATAGTTTTATGTTCATCTGTTATCTTTTATTCCCATAAGTTTGAGCATCTCCAGCTGAACTAAAAAATATAATTTTAGAAAAAAGTTTTGACATCTATTTTTGCAGTACACCACAAGGAGCAAAACTGAAACAGCCAAGATTCTTCAATGTTTCTTCAAAATTAAGCACTTTTCCTTAGTGGCATATTTAAAATGCATGATCAGAGTTAAGTATGTTTTAGCTACTGGTCTTCTAAGCTTGTTAAGAAAACTTAAGAAAACCACTATGTAAAGCCAATAAAAAAATAAAATATTTTCTTACTTTTTAGTCCAAGGGGTGGATTAAAAGTTCTACAGAATGTAAGCTCCTTATTCATTGTCTCCCCAGCACACAGAACAGTAGCTGGCACATGGTAAGGCACTCGTCGAGTATTTCTCGCTGAATGACTAAGATGCCTTTTTGGTTTATGTGTATGTAAAGTTCATAAACGACAAAAGAGAAGTGAAATGATTTTTCACATATTGTGATTTTTTTAAAAAACGATAACCTAGGTCAAACTCCAGCTTGATTATCTTTGGATAATCAAGGGGTAAATTATTTCTAAGCTTTTTTCTTGAGTTCAAATAAACACTATTCATTCTAGAGCCAATGAATGCTAGGATTAAGAGAACATCTTTCTTGCTATTGTACTTTTAAATTGCTTATATGCTCTCTGAGCAAAAGGCATAATTTTTCACATTCAACGTTGTACCCCCTCTGTACACTCTATTCCACATGTGTCTGTTTCCACAGACTGTTAACAGTCTTGTGCAGACTAATGGCCAATAAATGTTATTGAGAGAGATGAAACTTTACTCATTTGCTTTTAACTGGGCCAAGACTGGAAGAAGTGTGAATCTATAAGTAAAACTAACAACCATTTCTCCAGATATCCAAGCGAATGCTCTCCTGATGTAGGGGTAAGATGAAAGTGGCTTAAGAGCGAAGATTAAATCCACTTCAGAGTGCAAATAGTACTCGTCATTTATCACTGCAGCAACGTTCCAATGTGAACAATTCCAAATAAAAAACAGCTCGATTGAGTCCCATTTCTGTACTGACATCCATATCATAATACAAATCGCTGGAATGAACACCACTGCAGTTAATAATCTATTTACTGGAGTAATCTGAAATGTTACTGTATTACACAGAACACTTTTTAAATTTTTCAAATGGTTTCAAATGTCATGCAGTGTTTCATCGAAAACGTAACACCAGAATATGAAACCATTTAAAATGCAATTATTTTATGTCTAAGGTAGTGTATCCTGTTTCGCAACAGGATAAACCCGAGAAATACAAGCTAAAAGCCGACACTGTCCAAATTAACAGGATAAGAAAAATGGAGAACTGCGCTAGCGCTGAGCTGACAGAGACCTTGCAAGGGCTGAGGGTTGAGCTTAACTCACAGAACACAATATACAGTATCATCGACCCGACTCCCCGAGAAAGATACAATCTCACGGGAAGGCTTAAAGACCAGGCACGGCTCTCCAACCCGGCGGAAAAAAGAAGATAGAAATAGGAAGACAGAGGAGGGCTCGAAGTAGAAGCAAACCAGGGAAAGAGCGGAAGCCAGGCGTGGCCAGCGTGGCTGCGAGGCGACCTCGGAGGGCCCATTGGCAGCCGCAGCCGGACAGGATCCGCGGCCGAGCTGTACCCGCGGCGGCCGGGCGAGCAGGGACAAAGGCGGGAGCGCCCGGCCTCAGCGAGGCGAGCGTAACCACGCCCCGGGGCCGTTCCTCCGCCGGAACAGGGCGGGGCCTGCGCTCGGGGCCCATCGTCTAGGCAACGGGTGTGCTCGGCGTCTGAGCTTTTCAGAAAGCCCTAAATCCAGGAGTTTCGGGCGGGGAGAAGACCTCTGGGGGAGGGGAGGGCGCACTGTCGCTGGTCTTCCAGACGCCCCCTTCGTTTGGGTCGTCTTCCCAAGTGCAGGGAGCGGACTCGGAGCGCACTTCATGGCATGGGACAGGGAAGGGGCAAGGGTCTAGGGAAAGCGTCGCTTCCGCGAGCCTGCCCTCTTCGGGGGCTCGACTCTGGGGAGCAGCTTCCCTCTTGGGCCCCTTTGTCTCCAAACCATTCGAAACTGAGCTCCGAGAGGCGACACAAAGGGAGGAAGGTGACGAGCAGCGCAGGCGCGGGAGCCGCCGAGGCTGCCGGGAGTGACGGTCCGGCCACGGAAGGCTAGCTCTGCTCCCGCGCGGGCCTGCGGCCGCGGCTTTTCAGGCCGTGGAGGGGGACAAGCGCGCATGCGTCACCACTTCCGCCCGTGCTGCCGCCCGCCCTCTCCTTCAGTCTCCAAGAGTACCTGGGTTTCTAATAGTAAGAGCCTGGGAGGAGGTACCCAGGGTCGCCCCGCCTCCTCTTCGTCTGGATTGGGCTGCCAAGGTAACGGCGGCAGGTCCATTGGCTCCTGGGGTTGCCAGTTCTGTTCTAGGCCATACTTATATCGCGCTGCCGGGCGGCTACCGGGAAGGGAGAGGGGTTGAGGGCGGAAAGGATGATAGGTGGTGCATGTTGCGGTCTCAGAGGCGGCGGTCCCGCAGCCCGCTCGGTACCGGGCAGGTTTTCACCGAAGCAGGCCGCCAGCCCTCGTTCCCCATGGGGTGTGCAGCGTCACCGAACAGGCTCTGCCACCAAGTGCCAAACTCCTAGTAAAGTTTGCGCCTCGCCGGCTGCCCCCGCCCCGGTGGCCCTGCCGCTGTCACCTCAGCGACCCTCGCCCCCGGCAAAAGTGACGGACGAGGCCACGCCTCCGCGCGGGCCGGCCTTCGGGCCTCACCGCCCCCCGGCCCCGGGACGGTGAGGGGCGTGAATGCGGCGGGGGGCGGGGCCGCCGCCTGGGGGAGCGGGCGGGGCGCATGCGCGCTGCGCCGTGGGGCTGAATGTTTCCCAAGTGTTTGAAACTGGTATTTGGGTTTTCCACGTTGGACAAGTGCGGCGCGGCGGGCGGCGGAGCGCGCCCCTTCCCGCTACCTGCTCCACTGCGCTCTCCTCCACGGCTCGGCGTCCGGGTGGGCGGTGGCGGCCGCGGTCCTCGGCCCTCTCCCTCCGGTGTGTGCGCGCTCGTACGCGCGGCCCCCAGCGCCCGCCCCGCCGCCTGGGAGGGGGCCTGCGCGGCCGGCCGGGGCGTGCGCCCGGAGAGCCACCGCGGCCCGCGCCCGCAGGCGCCGGGGTCCCCGCGGCCCCGGAGGCGGCGCGGCGGGCTCGGCAGATGTAGCCGCCGGGCCGGGGCCGGATCCGGCGGGGGGGCGCCGGGAGAGCGAGGGCTTTGCATTTTGCAGTGCTATTTTTTGAGGGGGGCGGGGGGTAGAGGAAGCGGAAAGCCGCGCCGAGTCGCCGGGGACCTCCGGGGTGAACCATGTTGAGTCCTGCCAACGGGGAGCAGGTCCACCTGGTGAACTATGTGGAGGACTACCTGGACTCCATCGAGTCTCTGCCTTTCGACTTGCAGAGAAACGTCTCGCTGATGCGGGAGATCGACGCGAAATACCAAGGTACGGCCGGGTGATGGATGGGCGGGGGCGGCCGCTTCCATCCCCGCGGGTCCGGGCGCGCCGCGGGCCGGGCCGGTCCTGCCGGGGACCGGAGGACGCGGCCGGGTCCGCAGCGGCGGCCCTCGACAGGGGCAGGAACAAAAGGTCTGGACGCCTTTGATTCGCCAAGGTCCTTGTGTGCAAAGCCTGGGACACGGAGGAGGAAGGAGGCACGAGAGGTCTCGCTGCAAGGCAGCGCGACCAAAGCGCTCTTTGTAGTGAAGTGATGAGGCGGGTGCTGCGGGGGAGGGGGCGGCGGGTATAAGCCGTGTCCTCTAGGAAGGGGCGCAGATTACGGCGCGAGATGGAGGGATGTGTCGGCGCTTGGAGCTGCAGGGCGCGGAGACCGGGCTGCTGGAGGGGGGCGGCTGCGGGCCGGGGGTTCCCGCGGACCTGCTGCGTCGGTCCAGAGCGCCACTGCTCCCCCGGCCCTTAGTCGCCACCCCCCACCCAGTCCTGAATCCGAGTGTTACATAAAGTATGGGGTACTCGGCTTGGGGTAGCTCGGCCACCCCCGCCCCCGCCCACCCCCCTCCGGCCCTCCCTTGGCGCTGGACGCGGAGTAGGGGCCGACCGAGAGGGGCGACGCCGCCGGGTGTAGTTTGCGGAGGACGTGGGCTTTTCTCGGTGCAGTGGGGAAGGGAAGGGGAGGAGCGGAGGCGGGGAAGGCGCCCATCTGCGCGGCACTCGGGGGGCGCGGGCAGATTGCCGGCAAGGAGAGGAACGTGGCAGGTGAAAGAACCTGTGGGTTCTTCTCTGCAGCCGCGGCCGCCCAGAGTGTCAGAGAGAGGTGGAGGGCTCGTGTCCGCCGGGAATTGTTGGCTGTTGGGGAAACTTTCCTGCGAGGTCAGGCAAAGCTTTGGGGGCTGGGTTTTGAATGTGGATCGTCGCTCGGAGTTTACAAATGTTTACAGAGCTGCGCAGCAGGGAAACGGAAGAATCGGGGGAGGGCGAAAAAAATCGACCGCTCGCTCCAGAACACACTAGACCCTCCGGCGGGGAAAGCGCCCCTGCGCGCTCTACCCGAGACGCAGCTTCGCAGTGATTTTTTATAGGAGTCTCATTAGCATATTGCGGAACGTCCCGCCCTGGCCTCTCTGTGATTGGTCTTGACGTTCCCGGTGGAATGTCCTTATCAGCCTGCTGTGGAGCGATTCGTCGCTGGGCCGGATGAAGGTGTGCCTTGTACACTGACTGGCATGGGTCTGTGTTTCCGCTGCTTTCTTTTTTTCTCTTTCGGAGAGAGGCGGGGTGGAGGGAGGAGGTCGAGTTGATTTGAATGTCTTCGGGTCGCCCGGCCTCAGGCCTTGGATTGGCCCTTGGTGCTGCTGGGGCGGGCCGTGCCTCGGGCCCTACGCTGTGGTTGGCCCTCCGCCTGGCCTCCGCCCTCCGGTCCGGCGATCTTCATAGGTGGCAGCTCTCGGGGCGGGGCGTGCCGCCCGCTCGCCCCCTGCTTATTGGCGAGAGGCCCGGCCAGAGCCCCACCGAGCTCGGTCACTTCCGGCCGCGTAGCAATGGTGGCTGCCGCGGGCTGGTGCTGCGGCTCGGGCCACTCGCCCGCCCTGGCAACCCGCAGGATAGGCCCCCAGAGGACCCCGGACCACCTATCTATTGATCCGAGGGTGCAGCCGCGCGTGGCCGGGAGAGCGTGAGTGACCGTGGGCGTGTCCCCGCTCGGCGTCCCGTCTCGGGGGCTTTTCTGGAAGGGGGTCCGGGACTAAACAGGCCGGACCCGCCGGTTGTGCTTGGAGCTGTGAAAGGAAAGGGAGCGGAGACCGGGAAGATTCCGAGCGTTTGGCGATTATTTAAGAAAAAGTGTGCGTGGCGGGGTTCTCCTTCCCCGGCATTAAGAGGACGAAAAAGTTGGCCCTTATAAAATATTCTGATATCCGTGGCAGTATACCCACAAAACCTCTTTATTCCTCTTGTCGTCACTGTGGAGAGCCTAGCTTGCTTGCTGCTTCAGAGTCAAAAATTCTTTCTTCAGGTTAACCTGGGATGATGTGCTTTTTTGGCTTTAGGGAAGATCACGGTCCTGCCCCCCGGTGTGCGTTTCAGACGGTGCGGCTAGGAGAGTGTGGAGCTCACACATCCCGTCGTGGTGACGGTTGCCACTCATCCGGTTGAACTTCGCTGTAAATGTTGAGATGTGCTACACAGTTCAAAAAGATTAAGCTTTTATGTGTACACAACTACTCTGTAGCAAGTCAAACTTGGTTAACAATCTTTTGCTTAGTACATATCAATTGTAGATTAATCCATAAGGATGGATTATAATTAGTTTAAATTTTAAACGGTATTTGAGGTTGCTTGAATCATTTTCCAAATATTTTGTAAAAATACTCACCCACCTCCAGGGAAGTATGCTTCATGAAGAACTTCAGTGCAACCTTTATGTAAAATTAAAGTGTATTTTTGATGATTAGACAAACCAAATTAAATTTTGCTACAATCTCATTTGATCCTTCAGTTCTTTCCATACGTTGTTGCTTTTCCATGGTAAGGTTGGTGTGGAACAGGTTTATAAGAGTCAGCAGCAGTTTATCTGAAGCTGAGCTGATGGAACTGAAGCAGCAGAGAGTGTGGCAGGATGCCTTCCTATTTTGTAGTGGTGTTATTGTTCCTTCTTGTAAATATCTGTACCTACTGCCGTTTGTTGATGGAGCACTTTGCTTGGGACATCTAAGAATATATGCCATTGTGTAGGTAACAGAATTACCTCTTGGTAATTTTGTGATTGCGGTATTTGTTTATCTTCCCACAAGTGAGGCTTCACCTGTGTGTAAGTTTGCATGTGATATAAAAGAAGCTGTATGTTTACTAAATTTTAAATTACCAATATGGTAGAATTGTTCTTTTCTATGAAATGCCAGCATTGTCTTTAGAAATTTGATTACGGATTAAACCAAATCATACCATTTTGTAACTTGTGTTCCATTTAAAAATAAATGGCACAAAACTCATATTTTCACATTTATGATAAAAATAAATTGGATAAATTGATAGTAGTTGAATTAAGTCGAGCACAGCTATTTATTTTCAGAATTAATTACTCTAAGAGACTGAGACAATAGCATTCCTCCTTTCTGGTGGCAGTTTCCCTTGTTCTCTAGGAAGTATCTTCAGAGATGTCATTAGTTTGAGAGTGACAACGGAAAGGAGTGACTGAGGCAAGGATCTCTATTACTGGAGGTTTATTAAGCCAGCTTTAGGCAAAGCGGGTGTGGGGGTGGGGGGGGTCAGTGGAGATGCAAACCACAGATGTATTTGTGACTTTTTTCCAAAGAAGTTTTTAGGATGTTTAGTATCTAGACATTTTGGGTGGGGGGTGGGGGAGGTCTGTGGCCTAGGAGTTGAGTAACACAGATGGTTACAGTCTTGAGAGACTTTAGTTAGTGCCCAGGAAATCTACATTTTACGTAAGCTAAGGTGAATGTTTTAAGAGTAAAGGAAGAATCAATTATGTTGACACATTTGAGTAGATGGAGGAATGATCGATGTCATCCAGTCTATGTTTTGTACTTGGGAAGATAAGCTTGTAATCAACATCAGTGTGGAATCAAACAGACTTTAGTGTTAGGAGCTAGGCTCAGACTGCAGACCTAAAGTCACAATTAACATGTCCTTGTTTATGGGAGGCCAGCAAAGAGTTTCCTTATGAATGATCTGTGGGGGCAGTCCTTCCTAGATGCCTGAGGCATTTTACCTTTCAATGAGTATCTGGCTAATGCATAATGTTCATAACAGCTATTCATTTGGAAGGGGGTGTTTGCATGACTCAGCCGCCAGGCTTCACCTTCCCTTTGTATAAGGAGTTTGGGGGGTCCTGAGATTTTTATTTTCCTTTATAAGACTATAGCCTGGAAGAGAATACTTACTATTATATTTAGGCAAGCTTCAGTGTTGGCCTAAGTTCATAGGATTTACTCTAGTGTTGGTGTTCATCTTATACTACTTGGGGATAAGATGTAGAAATGGTGGTGGCAATGTTTTAGACGTTCCCTCCCACTCTCACCCCTCCACACACACTTCTAGGTTGGAAAGCAGTGTAGTTGCCTTGTTTTAAGAGATACAAAAGGGTTTTAGGAGAAAAATGAATTTAATGGTTACCATTTGAGAAAAATAACTCTGGAAATTTCTGTGTATTTAAATAGACTTTTAGCAAAAATATTTACTTCTCTTATTTCAATTAGGTTATTTAAAAGCTTTTATTCTTGAGAAATTGACTAATTGCACTTGGCAAATTACGTTTTAAAATCACATACACTGTCTTCTAACCTGACCAAGAACGTTTGAATTTAATACTGAAGGTTTTTAATTTGTTTTTGATAATGTTTTAAAATCTATTGACTTTTATAGATATGAAGATAATGTTTTAAGCAGTAGATGGAAAACTAAGATCTGTCACCTGTGTTTTAAAGCAGGGCGAGGTTGTCTGGTTTATTGTGCCCAAACCATTTTTGTCTTTACTAACTAGAGGGATAACATGCTAAAATAAACATACGGTAACTGATAAACTGAGGACCTCGGTCACAAAGTCATCTGGACATGGCCTATTAATCCCATTCTTTAACCACAGAGAGCTATTGTATAAATTTATATACATTCTCTAATAGGGTTTTAGATGCTGTTACATTAAAATAAAAAGAATAAAGGTATTTGTTAATTTGAATAAAATATTCAAAAAAGTGGTGATGGAGAGTTCATGATGGTTACCAGAGGTTGAGAAGGGTAGTGGGGAGGGGGGTAAATACAGTTAGATAGAAAGAACAATATTTGACAGCACAACAAAATGACTATAATCAACAATAAGTTAGGGTATACTTTAAAATAACTAAAAGAGTAGAATTGGAATGTTCCTAACATAGAGAAATGATAAACGCCAGAGGTAACAGATACCCTAGTTTCCCTGATTTGATTAATGCACATTGTATACTTGTATCAAAACATCATATGTACCTATAAAGATATACAACTATTATGTACCCATAATAATTAAAAATAAAATAAGATATAGTACAAAA